AACCTCAAAGAGTGACTCCTGAGAAATGCTGGAGACACAAGGACGAGGCAGGCTTCTTGCAACACAGGTGCCTTTGAAGGAGCTGGAACAAGAGCTGCAGGCACTGACAGACTCTGGTTTCACCTTTCCACGAGACTCTCGGTTTGCACTGAGAATTTCCCTGCAGTGAGGAGCTGTCCTGATGACATGCACGGATTTACTCGCTGCTGAGGTGGGATTACACGCCTAAGTAAGGCTGTAGCAGCAGTGGTAATTAGCTGCACAGTGATTGACTTGGACAACACTGAGATAAAAATAAGATGCAACCTGTGCATGCCCTCAGAGAAGATGCTGGAACGTATCCTGGAGAAATGGTGAAACCATTTGTGTCAAAGCCATTTTGGGGCCAGTGGAGGCAAATCACAGCCTAATTAGTCCATCTAGTCTGAGCATGACTGACTCCGGAGAGGTAAGGGCAATTTCTTCCAGTTTCTCTCCCTGTATTTATTTTTATTTTCTAAGGTGGGGAAGCTCAGTAGAAAGATGATGCTGTGGTTACAGCACATGACTGGTTCTGCTTTCATTTCCCAAGTGGTTTGAGGCAAATCACTTCATGCCTCTGTGTTTTTGGTCTTTTTCTCCAGTACAAAATGTCTTTTCTCCCAAGAGACACTTGAAGCTTGAAGTCATTGATTTTAGTGACTTCCGTACGGGATGTGCTGTGAAAGTATTTGAAAGCAATTGGAAGTATGACAAGGAGTGGAGTGAGTCCTCTGAAATCTTGGAGCTGTACATGTGTTCCTTTAATTATTGTGTACAACTGAGCAATAAAGAGAACACTTTTAACCTGCACTTTGTAATAAATATTGAGCACTAAAAGCTAAATAATAAACCTCAAAAGCAGGGCGTGTAAACTAAACTAGTAACAACTGAGCAGGACATTAGAGCTAGATCTTTCTTCTAACCTTTTAGTGCTAAATTACCCAATTAAAAAAAAATCAAAATGTTCACATGACAAAAACCTTTTTGTCATCAATTCCAAAGTACTCCTGTGTCCCTGGAGGCAGAAACACTCCATGTGCAAGAATTGGACCCACAGGATTTGAATATCCATAGATGTCATTCCCCACTGTGGAATAACATCCTGAATTAGAGCTGTATAATTAAGCTGGAGAGATTTGTTAAGGATTAGTAAATGCTGTCTAACAGATGCTCCTCCCCAAAATATCACTTGGCCACAAAGACATTTTGTGCTTGGGATGTTCTTGTATTTGAATCATCTTTGATCTCTTTGCCCAAAAAAACCAAACTGTGGCTGGCCCATCCCTGGAAGTGTCTAAGGCCAGGTTGGATCAGGCTTGGAGCCACCAGGGATGGTGGAATGCTCTTGGCAGGGGGTGAAACTGGACCATCTTAAAGTCCCTTCCCACCAAACCATCGTGTGGCTCTGCGACAGCCCCTGCCCAGGGCAGCTGCCCACTGCCTCAGGAGCAGCAGGTTCTGCAGATGTGGGCTCCCTGCGGGGTTTTGGACACTCAGGCAGCTGCAATTTTAGCGTTTGTTGCAACAACAAAAGCCACTGGGTCGCATGGGGTCTGCTGGAAGGAGGAGAGCCCCGGCGAGCACAGCCACACGTCCCACAGCCGGGCGCAAGCAGTGCCTTGTTCACTGCTGGGGAAAATTGTGAGGAGGAGGAAGGAAAACAACGGTGGCATTGAATTGGAAGAATTTCCCAATGGGAGTTCTCTTCCTCTGAAAGCCAGCAGCAGAACCGAGGGGCAGATATGGAGGGATGCAGTGAGTTGTGCTGGATGGTGCAGGGGCAAGCAGAGCTGAGCTCCAAATCGCCTCCACGCAGCGCGGCCAGCTCAGCCCAGCCTGACTTCAGGGGCCCCAGCTCACTGATTTCACCAATGCCCTTTGTCGCTCTGTTATTTCTTCATCCTACTGCAGAAATCACGATTAACCAATGGTTAATTTAACCTTGCTGTCCAGATTAAATCCCTTACTGCTTAGGCTGGCAGTTTTGAACCTGGTGAGGAGTGAGGTCCTGACAGCTTTGTCATGGGAACATCGCCTGCAAAATGGGAAGGGACTGGCAGGGGTGCTCTCCAGAGCTGCCTGTTCATGCACTGCTCTACCCACAGGCTTGTTTTGACCTCAAAAATATCCTAACTAGGATTTGGGTGCTGCTGGGAGAGCTAAGATGTGAGCGGGGCTTGCAGGAAAGAGCAGCTCCCCTCCAGATCTGTTATTTCTCCTTTTCTTATAAATTGGGGTCAGAAGGTAAATGGAACATGCTGGAGCAGGAAGAGGTGACTGATGGTGGGTATTAAAAAGACTTTAATTACAGGATTTGGAGAGAGGATTCTTCATGGAGATAATTTTTTAATTGTTGCTGTTTCAGGAAAAGAACCCCAGTGCTCCCAAGCAGGTCCCAATAGCAAAATGCTTGTCTCTGAGCACTGCTGACTCTGATCCCTTCAAGATGGGGCAAAAGAAAACGCTGCGTTTGTTAGAGCTCCCCCATTAAACATCAACTCCTCCCGTGGAGAAGTGTTTGTTTCCTTCCATCTGCTGCTTTTGCAAGGAAGGAAAATCAGCCTGTTCAGACACCAGGAAGTTCTTCAGCATGGGAACAGCTCGCTGTAAATGCAGGAACAATAACGGGCAGAAATTATCATACCTAAAAATACCCATGATGCGAGTGACACGCACAGCCCGGCCCCGGAGCAGCTCGGGGGGGAAGGAGCGTGAGGCTGCCCAGGATGTGCTGGGTGTGGGCAGCGCGGGGGCTCCTGCCTGCCTCCGCTGCGCTTCTTGCTTTCACCAACACATGTTTTGCTGTCGGCTCCTCCCGCATCTTTGTGCCAAGCCACTGGCAGGGGAGGTGAAAGGCGCGCCTGTGCAGTCAGAGCCCTGCAGCGCTTGGATTTCACCGACCCCATCCCCACCAGGGCGCTGTGTGAGCAGCTGGGGGCTGCAGGGCCGGCCCAAGGGCAGCAGCTCTACACTCGCCCCAGGAGAGTCGGGCCAGGTGAGGCGGAGGCAGGGGATGAGGTGACGCTGTCCAAGGCCGCTCCGAGGGCAGGCAAAGCCCAGAACCCACAGCTCACCCCGGCTGTCACCGCCGAGGGAAGTCCGTGGTGTCCCTGCCGTCAATTCCTATGCGGGCTGTGCCTCCAGTATTCGCTTTTTCGGAAATTTCCGAGCGCTGGCCGCGTTTCCAGGGTAACGCCGAGCGTTGTGCTCAGGGATCTTTGGGGATCCTCGGTGCTCCCTCCCTGCCGAGCCCCGCTGCAGTTTTGGCTTTGCACGCCAGAAGCTGCAGTTGTGCCACAAGAGGGGTGATGTGGGAGCTCCCGGGTGTGTGTGCAGCTCGGGTGTGCGCTCACCAGGTGTCCTTGGTGCCGGCACATCCTGGAGAAAGGACTGCAGCAGCTCCGGGATGGGAAGGGTCAGACCTCAGCCGGCTCCCCGTCCCCTCCGACCCAGCGGGGCACAGCCCCCGGCCAGCCCAGCACCTCGGTCCTGTGCCTCTGAACCCTCCGCTGCCGAGATTCCTGCCGGTGTCCGGGCAAGCCGTGGGTCTGTCGCACCGAAATGGCCCCGATGGCACAAGTGAAGAGCCGTGTCCCCCCGAGCCAGAGCGCAGGCTGCCCTGCCCTGCGGGAGAGCCGGGAATGCCGCTGCTGCCAGCTCCTCACCCCGCACCGGCCACCGGGAGACCTGCCCGTGGGCTGACGGTCATGCAAACACACGGCCATGGAATTTATTTAGCTCTGTGGCCTAAAACTCTTCCCGTGTGTGCCCAGAGCCCGCCACACCCATCATTCCCACGGGCAACCCAAGGGCTCTCCAGGATGAGACAGTACCGGGAGCACTGGTTCTAGCCAGGTCATTTAAATTATTAAAATGAAGAGTAACTGCATGGGCTGGATCCCAGCAGAGCAATTTGTAGCTCATTCTTCCTTCTGATGAAATTGAATATCGGTCTAACTTTGAAGTAAGAGCTTTGTATTCCAACAATGAACCAAGCCTCTGCAAGGGGAGGTCGGGCACATTTTCATGAGAGTTTGAACTCTGGAGCAAGAGCAGGAAGGTGTTTTGGGGATACCACTGTGCCAGGAGCTAGGACAGACAGAGATCGTGGTCTCTCCATCTCCCAGAACGACCCCAACATGCCCCAAAGTGAGTCCCTACAGAGCAGCTCAACCGTGAGAGCAGCTCACACCGTGAGGTTTGGTGGGACAAGGCTGGGAGCTTCGCTTTAGGGCTGCAAAGCTGAAGGACAGAGTCGGGTGGATCCCTGCTGGGATGGTGACACTCCAGCAGAACCACATCGAGATATTTAGGGCCGTTTTAACGTATCTGGAGGAAGCATTGCTTCCCGCAGCTTCGCCTGGACGACAGGACTTGCAGCGCGGTGACATTGACGGAGCGGCTGCTCGGCAGCCGCAGCGCCGCGCTCCCTCCCGGCGCGTTCAGCCGCTCCGCTCCGCTCCAGCCGCTCCGCTCCAGCTGCTCCGCCCTGCTCCAGCCCCGCGCTCCGCTCCAGCTGCTCCGCTCTGCTCCAGCCCCGCGCTCCGCTCCAGCTGCTCCGCTCCAACCCCACGCTCCGCTCCAGCCCCACGCCCCGTTCCAGCCCCGCGCTCCGCTCCAGCCCCGCGCTCCGCTCCAGCCGCTCCGCTCCAGCCGCTCCGCTCCGCTCCAACCCCACGCTCCGTTCCAGCCCCACGCTCCGCTCCAGCCCCACGCTCCAGCCCCGCGCCCTGCTCCAGCCCCACGCTCCAGCCCCACGCTCCGCTCCAGCCCCACGCTCCAGCCCCGCGCCCTGCTCCAGCCCCACGCTCCAGCCCCACGCTCCGCTCCAGCCCCACGCCCTGCTCCAGCCCCACGCTCCAGCCCCACGCCCTGCTCCAGCCCCGCGCTCCAGCCCCACGCCCCGTCCGCGGGGCCGGGCCCGCCGCTCCCCGCCCACCCTCGGGGCGGCCCGGGCGGCGCCTCCCGGCCCGCGGAAGTGATCCCGGGCAGGGCGAGCCGGGAGGAAGCGGAGGTTCCGGACAGGGGTGATCCGCGGAGGCGGCGGCGATCGCGGGCACAGGCGATCTGGGAGGCGGCGGCGGCGATCCCCGGCGGCCCCACCATGAAGCTCATCATCCTGGAGAATTACTCGCAGGCCAGCGAGTGGGCGGCCAAGTACATCCGCAACCGCATCGTGCAGTTCGGGCCGGGCCCCGGGCGCTTCTTCACGCTGGGGCTGCCCACAGGTGGGTGCCGGGGGGCGGCCGGGCCGGGGCCGAGCGCGGGCCCTGCCCCGGCTGAGGCGGCCGCTCCCCGCAGGCAGCACCCCGCTGGGCTGCTACAGCAAGCTGGTGGAGTATTACCGCAACGGGGACCTCTCCTTCAAGTACGTGAAGACCTTCAACATGGACGAGTACGTGGGTGAGTGCCGCAGCCACCTGTCCTGTCGCCTTTGGCCCTGCCCGGGAGCTGCTGGGCTCTTATCCCGGCAGAGCCTGGCGGTGCCCGAAATCCACCTGTGCAGGTAAGAGGGACAGCAGTCACAGAGTTACAGCATCAATATTCACAGAGTTACAGCACCAACATTTCACAGAGTTACAGCATCAATATTCACAGAGTTACAGCATCAATATTCACAGAGTTACAGCATCAACAGTCACAGAGTTAGAGCAGCAATATTCACAGAGTTAGAGCATCAATACTCACAGAGTTACAGCATCAACAGTCACAGAGTTACAGCATCAATATTCACAGAATTACAGCATCAGTATTCACAGAGTTACAGCACCAACATTTCACGGAGTTACAGCATCAGTTAGAATGGAAAAAACCTCTGAGATTGTGGCGTCCTGTGACCCCACACCACGGTGTCAGCTGAACCATGGCTCTGGGTGCCACGTCCAGTCTTTCCTTAAACACCTCCAGGGAATTAGCAAAGGGGGACAATTTGAAAACCTCTGGAAGAAATTTGAAATTTTTCATAGGTTTGAAAACGTATGGACAAAGCTGGATGCTGGGTGGTGCCCAGTATTGCACACACTGTTACAGACACTGCTGTGGCTGCACTCAGGCACTGAGCAGGCAAGAACAGCTTATCACTGCAGGCTCAGCGTGCAGCTTTACTTCCACCTTTGCTCTGGGGTTATAAAGGTCCCTTACAAAGACCACTGTGTCCCCTGAGTGCCCTCTGGTATCTTCTGCTGAGTTAGCAAAGCACTGCCATTGCTGAAGTCACGGTGAAACAGTCTCCTCAGAAGAAATAGATCCAAAGGTGAAAAACATACAAGCTAAATATTTGCTAATGCTAATTTTATCCTGGTCAAGAGGGGTTTTTATTCAGTGAATAATCCCAATCAAGAAGCATCAGGGAATAAGCAGTCCAGTGTGGGTTTACAGCATTCAAGGGAGGTAAATATGCAATAATTATACAATAATTATTATTTCCCAGGCTTCTGCAAAGCTTTTTAATAATTCTTACTAACATGAAATAGAAAAAGGGTTGAAAAGGTACTGACAGATGAGGCACGGCACACACCTGCTTTTTGAACATCTGTTGTGTATTAATATGGGCATGTGTCTTACAGGAGCTGATTTTATTTCTGGTATTTAGGGAAATAGAAACAACTCTGAAAGCTGAGGGCATGACAAAGCACAGCAGTGCTCTGTCACCAAAGCCACTGCAGGGCTGTGGAAGTGCTCTGTTATGGGTGATGCTGTTCCAGCTGGCCTCAGTGCTGTGTGTTCTGTTTGTTACCAGGTCTCCCGAGGGATCACCCAGAAAGTTACCATTCCTTCATGTGGAATAACTTCTTCAAGCACATTGACATCTCACCAGAGAACGTCCACATCTTGGATGGAAACGCCCCTGATCTCCAGGCAGAGTGTGATGCATTTGAGGAGAAAATCAAAGCAGCTGGAGGCATCGAGCTCTTTGTTGGAGGTGAGAACCCAAGAGCAGCAGCCTCTAAACCCTGTCCCAAAGCTGTGCCCGTCCTCCCCAGCTCTCATTTATTGCCAAAATTGCTCACTTTCAGTGCATGTGCAGTGAAATCCGCCCCACAGTCCGTGGCCCTGGGCACTGCAGTGTCCTGGCAGCCTTGTCTCCCCACCTCCCACTCCCAGCTTTAGGTCCTTCAGTGCTGTCAGTGACCTGTTCAGGAAGTGTTGGCAGGAGAAATGGGAAGGGCTAGAGCTGTAAAAATATGAGGTATTTATCAATTGTCAGTGGCAACAGGAAACTGCTGGGAGTAGCTTTTCCCATCCATTTGTCATATGATTCTGCCACCGACTTTGTCATTGTCCCAGCGCAATCAGGGCATTGCCTGGTGGCTCCTGAGGGGGCTTTGCTGTTGTTCCTAGCAGACACAAATCTGAGCTGGAGCAGAGGAACTGCAGGGGTTTTCCTCAGCTCTGTTCCCAGGAGCACTGCTTCTCCTGGGAGAGCTGCTGGCTCTGCTGTCACAGCTGACCCTGTGCTGCCACTGTCCCTGTGCAGGTATCGGCCCCGACGGCCACATCGCCTTCAACGAGCCGGGATCCAGTTTGGTGTCCAGGACACGAGTCAAGACCTTGGCCATGGACACCATCCTGGCCAATGCCAGATTCTTTGACGGTGACCTCTCCAAAGTGCCCACCATGGCTTTGACAGTTGGAGTAGGCACTGTCATGGATGCCAGAGAGGTGAGGAAATAAGAAATGGCTTCCTGCAGTTCCTCTGGAGCAGCCAAAGGTTATCCTGTTACGGAGCAGCCATGTGTCCTCTGGTGTAGGGTATTCCTGCCACAGAATGCCTGACCCTCCTGTCCTCTGGCATCCTGCAACACCACAGAGAGGCTCTTGCTCCATCTCTGCTGGCACTTGTGTTTGTGTAACCCTGCAGCAGCTGTTCCCCCCAGGGAGCCAGGAAGGTTTGGGAGGGTGTCTTTGGTTAGCAATCTCACCTGGAAAGTAACTGCAGAAATCAGGCTGAGTTGATGTCACACCAGCAGGTCATGAAAACTGTGGGACCACTTTTACTGCAGTCTGTTCTTGATCTACGCTTGTCAAATCTCAGCGTACAGGTGCCCAAAGGATCATGGCAGTGACCCACCAGGCTGTGGTTTCGCTGGGAGCTGAAGCAGCCAGAGCAGCAGCAGCAGCACAGAGAAGTGGCTGTGGGGAGGGTGACAGGGGTGTCCCCATTCTCAGCTTGGCAGGGTGTGCTTGGGCTCTCCCTGGCCCCGCTGCCAGGCCCTGACTGCCCTCTCTGTCTGGGGGTGCAGGTGATGATCCTGATCACGGGAGCCCACAAAGCCTTTGCTCTGTACAAAGCCATCGAGGACGGTGTCAACCACATGTGGACGGTGTCGGCCTTCCAGCAGCACCCCAACACCGTGTTCGTGTGCGACGAGGACGCCACGCTGGAGCTCAAAGTCAAAACAGTGAAATACTTCAAAGGTGAGTGTTTGACCAGGCCAGGCAGCTGCTCTGTTACATTTTTAGGAGCCACGAGCCACGCTTTGCAGAGGTGTTGCTGAATAAGTAACTGCCAAAGGAGTATATTCCTTAAATATACCACAGCAGTATGTGTGGAGGTAAACGCTTAATGCTTGGTGTGGGAGCAAAGGCACAAGGACAACAGTAATGTCTAATTGCATTAGCATCCAATGAAGGAGAACTTGCCTTTATTATGTCTACTTAAATTGCCTTTTGACTCTCTCCATCAGGTTTAATGCTGGTTCACAACAAGCTTGTGGAGCCCTTGTACAGCATGAAGGAGATGGGAGCAGAGAGGAGCCAGTCCAAGAAGCCATACAGTGATTAATGTGCTGGGGCAGTGCTGAACCAGCTGCTGAAAACAGCTGGGACAAAAGGGAATTGCTGCAGAAACTGATCTCATGTTTGTTTTTAAATTAGCAGAATGATCTTGTGGTTCCTTTTATCCATTAAAGAGACAGATGCCAAACACCTGCCTTAATTAACCAAAGGAGGATGGGATCCAGTGTTCTGTGTTCCACAAACTTCTGCCACCAACTCATTCTCTGAAGGAAGTGAAGAATGAATTGTTTGATCTGTGAACTGGCTGTAATCACAGACTGAAGGCTGCAGAACTGAAATGTGAGGATAAAAAGAAAGCACAATGTTTCAGAAACAAGTGGGTGATAACTCTGGGGTGTATTCCTTGCAATTAGCACAAGTATCTCCTGTTATTGCTTCGTCCTCCATGAGACATTCTTACATTAGAATCCTGGAAAAGAGGATTGTCCAGCTGGAGAAGGGAAAGCTCAGAGCTGCACCCACAGCCAGGAGAGGGCAGCAAGAAGATTATGGAGCCAGGGGGAAAAGAAGGGACAGTGGGGTGGGAATGGAGACACAATGCCCACGTTGCAGAGGACAAAACCCCACTGTGGGAGCAGCCAGGCAGTGGGACAGGGTCCCCACGGGGCAGGTTCCCTCCTGAGGAGGCTGCCACGACCTGACTGCACAAAGCCCTGGCTGAGCCCTGCTTTGAGCCACATGTTGGACTTGAGACCCCTGAGCAGAAGAGGCTCCAGCAGCATCCCCCACTGGGGTCCAGGGTGCAGCTCAGGCACCCGAGGCTGTCACTGTTCTCAGGCCCAGGTATGATTTGCTGTGCCTGGTGCTCTCTCTTCTCCAGAATTTTCCATTTCTCTGAGGAAAAGCCAAACCAGCCCCAAAGGAAACACTCTTGTTCCCACTGGCTTCAGCCTCTGTTTAATTACAGACACCCCACACAGGTGGACAACAGCCAAGACCCCACCAATTCTTAAATGTGACTCCTGGGACTTCTGTCCAATGCTCTCACACAAGGGGCAAGAAAACTGGGCAACATTTATTTTCTTTATACAGAAGTTTTGTAAGTTGTTGATCTGTACTGTAACTTTCTTCAGTAAATGTTTAATTTTTTAAAGGGTGACATTTGACTGTATCTGGTGCTCGGTCTCAGTGTGCTCATGGTAGCAAAGCTGTGCTGGAGGCAGTTTGCTGGGAAGAGCTCCTGCTGCTCCCCCCTTCCTTGCCCAGTGTTTGCTGGCAGGTTTTCCTCAGAGGGAAAAGCAGGGCCCTTGGGGTGGCAGGGCACTCTGCACGCATTAAATGGCACGAGAGAACACGTCCCTGCCAGCTCCAGGTGGGAGCTCTGGGCTGTCCCATTCCCAGGAGCACCTGGGGACACTGTGCTGCCAAATCCATGCCACAAGGAAGACAAACAGGGACACTGTTTACCATCTTAAAGTGAATTTAGTGCATGTGAAAGGTGCAAGAAAACAACTCAGACCATACACAATGTACACTTCTCCTAGACACTGACCTAGAGATTCAGCTGAGGTGAGACCTGCTCTTCCATCTTTTTAATCTCTGTGCCAGTTCCTCCTGTGCACAGGGAACTGCAGCACCACTCCTTTTGGCCACACATCCCAGGATAAATTCAATCTCTGTGCCAGTTCCAACAGTGCAGGCTCCTCCTGTGCACAGGGAACTGCAGCACCACTCCTTTTGGCCACACATCCCAGGATAAATTTATTAACTCTCAGTCAGAACTGAGTGAGCTGTGATCACCTCGAGTTCCTGAGGAGGCTCAGCTCCAGAGCTTTCCATCCAGGCCCAACTGCTCTTGAGCACAGCACATGCAGCTTTAACTTCCAAATAAACTTTTAGACTGTTCTGCAAGTGGAAAAACTTGTAAAAAATCGGTGTTTGCCTCCAGTAATCACCTTCATACTCTCCAAACCACTTGCTGAGATTTTAGGGGGAAAAATTTGGTTTCTGAAATAATTTGAAGTGCAAAACCAGTGGAAATAAAGGATCTAGTCCAGAAGGAAAAGTATCAACCATCAAATTTCTTATATGAAGAGTTAATAAAGAATAAATTACTTCATCAACTGAGAACACAAGGTAATTGTCAGTGTCTTGAAGAATTCAAGTTCATCTCTTCCTGATACTTTTCACCCTCTCACTGGTCACATCCTCAGCTCACTGCCTTGGCACTCATCCCTGCCAAAACAAGGACAGGCAACGTGAGGGGATCCAGCAGCAGCACAGGGAGTCACCAAGCTCACAGAGATCCCTGGGAATGGCTGTTGGTCATTCTCTGCCCAAGCTCTCAGGGATGCAAAGGCTCAGGCACAGCAGCCAACGAGAAGGGTTGGGGATAATCAGCTTTAATGTCATTAGAAAGTAGCAGGGACAGAGCCAGGAGCTGCTTTTCAGAGAAGCACATCAGGAAATTCATAAAAGCAACAAACTTTGTTGCTGAATACAGAAGAAATTTTCTGTATTGTATCAGAAAACTCCCCCAGTCCAAGCAGCTCCACCAAACCACCCCAAACCCCACAATATTCACGATCCAAGGGTCACTGTCCCTACAGGAAACCCCCAAAATACTTCCAGGATTTGAGGCTTCAGTTTTGTCTGTTGGCTTTTAAAAAATGGGCACCTCTTGGTATATATTTTTTCCAATGGTTTTCCAATTTCTGACTTTAATAATGGACATGTTTGTGTGGGCATTCCATGATGATCCTGATCCCAGGATGGGGAAAGGTCTCCTTTGGTTTTGGCAACAGGCTCTGAGGTGTGAATGTCCTGCAGTGCAGTTACCACTCTTCTGTCACACAGTGGAAGTGAAAAGCAAACACAGGACACACAAAAAGCATCTGTTTCTGGTTTATCACCTTTTGGTGCTGGAGGAAGTTACTAATCATCATCTTCCTCTTCCCAGAACTCCCCACTGTCGATGTTAACGTCTTGAAACAATCTGCAAGACAGAAAATCAGTGATACCAGGGCATAAAAAAGTCAAATATGTTTAAAAAAGTATCACCCTAAATGCAACAACGGTACAGCAAGTTCCCCTGGTTTTTTCAGTATCACCATCTGTGCCCCATGGAAGGGACAAGAGAGGCTGCCACTGTCCCCCTGGTGTGACCTGCCTGTCACCTGTCCCCAGCAGCACTTCTGACCCTTGGCTCTTCCCCAAGGGAATGTCAGGCAATCCTGCAGCTCCTTAAAGCAGCTCTTCCCCAGTCCTCGAGCTGCTCCTGAGCATTGCCAGGGAAACCCTCAGGGAAACTCAGCACAGAAAGGGTGAGGTCATGACCTGACCAACAAAAATCAGGAATAGGCTCAGAAAACTCCTCCAGAATTAAACTAATAAAACCAAAGTTCTCAAAAAAGCAAAACCAATCCTGAATCACTCCTGACTTTTACTGTTAGTGCCAATTATTTGAGAGGAGAAACCGTGCCTTTAGCTGTATCTACACATTTCAGGTAAGAATCTGGGAGAGACTGTGAGGAGAAGCAGCAAGCTGCAGCAGTGCAGGGGTCCCTGAAGCACCGACCTGTTGAAGCAGGGCAAGGAGCGGTTCTCAAAGTGCTGGTAGGGGCTGTCCTGGGACAGGGAGCCCATGCAGAGCCAGCAGAAGTACTGCATGCACACTGTGCACGTCATCTTGTTACAGCCATCCAGTTTCTGGGGGGAAAAAAACCAAGAAATGGTGGTGACAGAAACCCACTGTGGCAGCCCTGAGTCCCTCTCTGCCAACAGCCCCCAGCAGCAGAGCAGTCAGTGAGCACATCCCCCACACACTGACATTTCCACTGGGAGCTGGGATCCCAGCACTGGAAAATGGTTAGAACACTAAAAATACCAGAAATCAGTATCTTTCTGAAGCTGGATCGATTTCCTAGCTCTAGGGTAAACCAGAGGTGGCCTGAAACACCAGGAAAACAAAAGAAATGCAGGATCTGTTCAGTGGGGGAGCCTGACCACCAGTCACTGTTTGCACTCCAGTCCTTGGGATCCACGAGTATCACCTCACCTCCTTTTCCATGCCACACAAAAATGGAACTTCTCTTAGTATTTCCTAGAGATTTCCTCTCCCTAGAGGCTCCAACACACCCAGAACTGCCTCCTTGTGGGTTATTTTCTGTTCCATGACTCCCAGCCTTTCCCTCCTCACTCACCTGAATGGGGGTCCCACAGCAAGGACAAGCCTTGGAGTTCTTTTTCAGCCATTTCTTACTCTGCATCTCCTCCAGGGCTCTCTGAATCACTCTCTTGCCATAGCGTTGTTCCAAAAATCTTTTAGTTGCCTCATCTGCTTTTAAATATTCATTCCTCACATCGATTAATTTCTCTGGGGGGCAAAATCAAACAAAACCAGACAGCTTTTGTAAGATACTAGATTTAAAAGTCCTGCTAATTGCAGCACAAAGATTCTCAAAGAACAATAATGTCATGAATTAAAAAGCAAGAAAACTATTAAAATACATGATAATATTAAAACTACTCTGCCCCAACATTCAGCAGTTTTACACTGTTTTATTATAAAAGAGGTCTATTGATGGAATTAGAACAATGTAAAATAAACTGAAAAAGATGATAATATTAAAACCACTCTGCCCCAACATTCAGCAGTTTTACACTGTTTTATTATAAAAGAGGTCTATTGATGGAATTAGAACAATGTAAAATAAACTGAAAATAGATTTTTTTTTTTTTCAGACTACATATTTAATGAAATTCTGTCACAGGATTTAAAGGCCAGAGAGGGAAGCCTCCATCTGATTCCAGTATTAACTCTGACAATACAAAGCAGTGAAAATATGAAGGAATTCTTCCCCTGCTACAGCCTCTCAGCATCTTGACAACCAGCAGCTTAGGGAGCTCCTGAGCTGAGGAGTCTCACCAAAGGAATATTTAATTGCCAGCAGCAGCCCTCCTCCAAACGACTGCACCTTCCACAAAGCTCAGGGCGAGGAGCTGCCTCGCCCAACCCCGGACTTTGCCAGGCAGGATCCAGCTGGGTGTGGAGCCCAGGGGGAGGTGACTGACCTGCAGTGACCTTGCAGGGGGACACCCCGTGGTAAGTCATCTTGCAGAAGGTGCAGAAGGCGTAGTTGCAGCAGGAGCAGATGCCCATGGTGCAGCCTGGCTCCTGCATCACGGGGGTCTGGCAGCCAGGCCGGGGGCAATACACCACGTCAGCCATCAGGTCCAGGCTGGACTGCAGCAGCAGGCGGTCGTAGCGGGCAAACAGCTCCTCCCCAACCAGCTCCTTCACCTGCCAACACAGCCCAGGCAGGCAGCACGTCACCAACACAGCCAGGCCCTGGCACAGCCTGCCCAGAGCAGCTCTGGCTGCCCCTGGATCCCTGGCAGTGCCCAAGGCCAGGCTGGACAGGGCTGGGAGCAGCCTGGGACAGCGGGAGGTGTCCCTGGGACAGTGGAAGGTGTCCCTGGGACAGGGGGAGGTGTCCCTGCCCTGGCACTGGATGGGCTTTAAGGTCCCTTCCAACCCAAACCAGTCTGGGATTCCCTGATTCCTTGCAACTGTAATTCTGAGCCTGTCAGTCTGAATTACAGTCAGTGAAAAGGTACCAAGAGCTGGGATGAATCCACTTTAGATTCTCCAACAGGTCACAGGGGGTCAAGGATCTGCTCCCAGGGAGAACAGGGACAGGACAAGAGGGAACAGCCTCAGGCTGGGCCAGGGCAGGCTCAGATTGAACATCAGCAGGAATTTCCCCATGGAAAGGGTGCTCAGGCACTGGAACTGCCCAGGGAGCTTTGGAGAGCCCATCCCTGGAGTGCCCAAGGATGTGGCACTTCATGACACAGTTTAGTGGCATGGTGGGACTGGGTCAAAGGTGATCTTGGGAGGACTTTTCTGACCCAAATGACTCTGTGACTGACAGTGTAGAGCATACAGAGCCACGCCCTGCACTCGGGCTGAGTTCCAGAGCTGCACAGAATTACCTGGACAGGAATTACCTGGTCTGGAGTGGCGACAGAAGAACACTTGGGCTCGGGGCAGTTGAGGCAGTGCACCTGCCCATCCCTGATCTGGATCTCAAAGTAGTCCTTGAGGCAGGCCTTGCAGTACACGTGGCTGCACCCCACGAAGCGCATGCACTCG